ATCTAGTAAGAACTTGAACATTCGCCAAAGTACATGATAGTTCTAGAAACGTTGCGTCACGGTGGTCATGTCACTCGCTGACGCAACAACTGTAACGAACGAACGTTAACTTCAACAATACCGTGTGACTGCAGTTCAATTACTCACTCTCTACACACACATTATTCCCCTCTTTTATATACCAGCCTACCCTATATCTAGTAAGAACTTGAACATTCGCCAAAGTACATGATAGTTCTAGAAACGTTGCGTCACGGTGGTCATGTGACTCGCTGACGCAACAACTAGTTATTATTATAAATGAGTATTTAAGTAGTTAAGTGGATAATCTCTGCAATTCGTGCTTAATGGCGCGTGGCTCAGCTTTAGAATGTTCGCACTATGGATCCAAGAGCTTATGATTCGCGAACCGTTGTCACATAAAACCGCTTCACATTTGAAGCCGTGGGTGCGCTGCGCTATAAGAATGACTATGAAATCCCGCTATGCGCAGAAAACCTTTTATGTAGCTTTGCGCGAACATATTGAAATAAACACCAATGTGCTAAGTTTAATCCTTGTGTAATAGTTAAATAAATTATTTTAATCGGTGAACTTTAATTAAACTTTTATTTGTGTAATAAGGCAACTTAGTAATCTTGGAATTTAAAGAATAAAGCAATAAGTGTGCAGTAGTTATATAACTGATTCAGAGTTTTTATAAATTGTCCACTAGTATATTAAAAACTATATTTAGTTCCTGAATACGATACTATTATCGTTCACACACACACATACAGGAACGTCGAGAGCCAGCTAATAAAAAGGGAAACAAAGGTTTCAGACTAATTTATTCTAATCCTGCCTAAAAGAATTTCCTATTGAGGATTCCCTATTGTTTTTAATATGTTTAGGTGCCACGTTTATCTAACATTTTATCAGATGCTGCTCCACTATTCCTGCCCGTTGCCCATCAGTGGCACAGTGGCATGTCTACGGATTTACAACGCTAGAAACCGGGTTTTGATACCCGTGGTGGGCAGAGCAAAGATAGCCCATTATCTTGCTCGTTAGACTCGTACCATAGTTCGTGCGTTGCAAAAATTTGGTTTTAATATTAGTTATGTGTTTGATTGACGTTAATTTTGAATCGTACATTAATCCTAAGAATTTTGCTGATGTTGTAGTCTGGAAAAGCACCCCGTTCGAGTTGGTCTTTTTTATGTTTTGTTAGTTTTGTAAAAACTACAAACTGATTTTTTGGGACATATATTTTAATTCGATAGATATGGCAGTATTCGACTATTCTGTATTATTGAGGTTGTAGATTTGTGGCTGCTATTGATAGTGTGCGAGTACAATTTACAATAACAGTTATTACAAATAGTTATTATACACAATGATTTATAAACAAAAGTTTCATAAACTTACAAGCAATATAAAGTTTTCTTTCTAGTCCGGAACTTCTTCGATATATTATCGAGGGTTCACGATGATCGAGTTAATTACGAGTTGATGTAGGTATAATTCACTTCACAGGGAACTAGCTAGCTTTGTCCTGCGTTATTTACCAGCCACACATGCCGAGTTTTCTACCGTGACGTTATGTAATGTTTTAGTATAAACACTAATGTCCGATGAGAATCTACTGAAGTTAAATGATTTGTAATGTTCGAACTTTGTTAAATGCTCCTGGTCAAATATCTGAAGTTTTCCGATTGATAAGTGTTATAACAATCACAGTTATAGCCTCCGAAGTTTATAGCACATTGACTATAGCAAACTAATAATAGATACTCTCCTTTGGCGCGGCGCGTTTGTTATATTTATAGGCGTGTGAAGGCTTTATAGAAAATTCAGATTACGTAACAATACAAAGCTGCATTTAAGCGTTTTCGTATATACATGTATTGTTGATTCTTACTCTCGAGAATCTTCTACAACTTTGGAGAATAGGCGGGAGTTTCGCAATACATATTTAACAGTATAAGCTATTGTTACGTCTCTGTTCGTTTGTTAATTTTCCGTACAAATTCTTCCCAAGAAACTTTAGCGATACAAGTCCTTTCTTAAATAAAACTAGTTTATTCTTTCTCAATACAACTTTGAAATTCACTTAATTTCCACAGTCACGCTATAACTTAAACAAACGCTATAATTCACAACGAACGATTCACGCGCTTGACTCAATTGTCCATCTCTATCTCTGTCTGGAGGCCCGGCATGGCCAGGTGGTTAAGGCACTCGACTCTCAATCTGAGGGTCGTGGGTTCGAATCCCCGTCACACCAAACATGCTCGCTCTTTCAGCCGTGGGGGCGTTATAATGTGACGGTCAATCCCACTATTCGTTGGTAAAAGAGTAGCCCAAGAGTTGGCGGTGGGTGGTGATGACTAGCTGCCTTCCCTCTAGTCTTACACTGCTAAATTAGGGACGGCTAGCGCAGATAGCCCTCGTGTAGCTTTGCGCGAAATTTAAAAACAAACAATCTCTGTCTGCAATTCAATTCCATTGTTGCCGTCACTTCTTGGCGGTCTTATATACAAGAATACCGCATATCTAGTAAACACTCGAGGCTTCACGAAGGGACATGAATTTTCTAGAAGCTCATGACGTGTTACTAGCGTCACATGACTTCCGCTGTCGTAACACTTTGTATGTTTCTAAATATAAATTTAATCTAAACAAACGTTGATATTAAAGTGAATATATAATAACAAATTCGTTACAGTGTAAACACCAACAATGTATAAAACTGTTAGTTACCTGTATAGTATAGTATATAGTGTATAGTAGATAACCTTGACATAAATTGGTTGTCATTGTTTGATTGCTGTGTCTGGACAGGTATTCGTTGTGGGCGACCTGGGACGGTCAGGTTCCATTAGACCTCTTCCTCCCTCATTTATTGTTGTATGATAAAGTGTCAAATGCTATAGTGGTATTCACAACATCAGGGCTTGAACACTATGTAAAACACTGATTCTACTTCCCTCTTCAGGATCATGTCCATGAATAGAATGTTTATAGCATTTAGTGCTATTTCACCACTTCTCTTCATTTGGATCCCCTGGTGGGGCAGCGGTAAATCTTCGGATTTACAACGGTAAAATCAGTGCGCTCGACTAGCAATCTGAGGGTGCCGGGTCTGAATCCACGTCCCACCAAACATGCTCGCCCTTTCAACCGTGGGGGCATTATAATGTGACGGTCAATCCCAATATTCGTTAGTAAAAAATTGGCGATGGGTGGTGATGAGTAGCTGCCTTCTCTCTAGGCTTACACTGCTAAATTAGGGACAGCTAGCGCAGATAGCCTTCGTGTAGCTTTCCGCGAACTTCAATTACACTAATGTAATGCTGTCATCTATAATATTTTTTGTCTTTAAAATACTGACACAATAATAATTATGTTTAATTATACGTTTTACATAGCTTGTTGTTTATAAATTATTCGGGGTGGGCATGTGCCCCATAGTCCCAACTCCTACGCCCCTGTAGGTGATATCTAGGGTCACGAGTCAACCCTTTGTCAAATAAGAATGACTAGTCACGTGTTAGTCCTATTAATGGGTAAGTTCGACGTTTCCTGTTAAGTAAGAAACACTACATGGGGTAAAGGAAAATTATCCAGTTTTTGAAAACTTCGGGTGTTCAATCCCTAGTAAATACCAAGAAGAAGATGATGATGAAATATTTTGGAGTATATCTTAGTAAAGAAAACATTCTTGTTCCTGATCTTAAGTGAGTTGGTTGAAGGAAAGAAAACCAGTTAATTAATTGATGAATCCAGTGAAAGGCAAGTGTCCAGCGTTTAGAGAATAAATACATAAAATCTTTTTGTTTTGTTAATAAATAAATATAATTTCGTAATATATCTCGCCGATCCTCCCGTTATAAAGTGGACCTACCCTACAGCGGAAACCTGTTTAATCTGAAAATACCACATTTATAAGCAATTATTAACATTATACTTATTACCTTCGTTTGTTTTTGGAATGGTCTGATTTAATATCTAAAGCTTCTTAAAATGTTTTTTACAGGTATCTCTTTTAAATTGGTTGTCTTTTTTTTTCTCGCAATTAGATTTAGGGTATCATATTTCTAAGGTATTGTTACGTCTCCGTTTGTTAATTGATTTTCCGTAACTTTGTTCCGACGAAACTTTAACGACACAAGTCTTTACTTAATAAAACTGGTTTATTCTTTCCGAATATAACTCTGCGATACACTTAATCTCAATACTCGCTCTAAAACAACACTGTAACGAACGAACGTTAACTTCAACAATACGGCGTGACTGCAGTTCAATTACTCAATATCTATACATCTTACCGCGTCACGTTGTCCCCTCTTATATATATCCGCCTACCCTATTTCTA